CACACACACACACACACACACACACACACACACACACACACACACACCTTGATGTAGATGGAGGCTTCACTGCGGTAACTCCAGCCTGCAGTTATAACTGAGATCACAGACCAGAGTCCTCCAAATCCACTATCTCAGCATCAAAGGGCACCAGCTGGCAGTGCACATGAGCACAGACCCACAGACAATAAGGAAATTCAGAGAATTCCACAGCAGACAAATATCAGTGGGTCAAATCATTTGATGGGATGAGGACACTTCTAACAAAGAAAAAACAGACTCCGTGGCGTGGAGCACAAATGTGCTGTCGTGTTCACGAACGTGCTGTAGTGTTCACGAACAGGACTTACTGATGAACCTTCACAGCTTCTTTGTTCCACACACTGGTATCTGATAATATCAAATTCCAATGCTCTTCTTGTATTGTATTGTTCCTTGAAAAGGGCAAGTTGTATCAGGATTTTTGGTACTAAACCCGTTAACATTTCACAGAAAAGGTGATTGGCAGTGTTACCAGCGCAGATGGACAGTTTCCAGCTCAATTCAACACAACCCAAATTATAACCTTGACAGAAACCCATGCAAAACTCTAGAACCATTAGCCTACATGTGCAATCATAAGCATACAAAGCTTCATATCTGCACCAAATAACTAAAATGTAAGATAAATAGGCTATCCCAACCCACAAAGAGTGCAGTCAAACACCCAAATACACTAATTTCCATGTCAGCGATGAAGACGTCAAGGAGGTCATATTGATTCCACCGTTATCCCTTACGACGCTTGAAAACAAAATATTTCTTAAATGAAATGAGTCAATAATAGAGTGAGTGGACACAACCAAGTTTACCGAATTTTGTTTCTGTCCATTAAATGACAGCTTAATTAAAAAATATTATTTCCATAATATTTTCAAACCCCTGCTAAATGTTGACAAAAGCAGCCAAAATTTCATCTGCCAGCCCATTGCAATTTCTACCCGCCAAACTTAATCCAATCTGGCAAGACCTGAGCGAGCTAACTCCTACCAATAACAACATAATGTGTTTTACCCTTCATTTGTAAAAAGAAGGAGCCTACCTGAGTCATTGCGTAGGTAGGAGGACATGGCAGGGATGAGGCAGGACTGGCTTAACAGCTCCTGCAGCACTGCTGGCAGCGCTGAGCTGTTGTGGGCTCTGCTGTCTGCTGAAGAGCCATCAGCACTGTGGCAGCTGCTGGAGCTTGCTGGGTTGATGTAACTTGCCAAGACCTGGTGAAGAAAACAATATGGACATACTGTGAGACGAATGATAAAACCTGTACACCTTGCTCAAACCTTTTCTCATTCAGTGACCTGCTCTGGAGTGTGCCATGCTATGTCATCATGGCAGCCCCTGTCCAAGAACAACTGACCGTTACCTTCACTAGGATGCTTTAGGTACTTATATTCATGTGACACATATAGCATCACATCATCACTGTTCCTTTCCTCAGAGGTCATGTTAAGACATGCAACAGGTACACAAACCTGGCAGATTTCAGGGCCTGGACAGCTGCTGAGCAACATAAACAGGAAATATAGAAACAAAATCACCACTATCATCATAAGAACATTTAAAATGTCCACTTTGACAGTCCTTATTTCTAAAATCAAATACAATGTGGGATTGATGGGTAGATTTACCTGCAGTAGACAAGTGACGTGTTCCTCTTCTAGCCGTTGTTTGGTGAGGGCCTGCTCCACGTCCCAGCCTGAGGCTGTGGATCCAGTACCAAAACCAGTTCCTTTAGCCCAGTACAGCTGCTGCTCCTCACTGGTCCCCGCACCGTGACAACTGGAAATCTGCGGCTGTCAACACAGACACGGATATGAAATTATGTCGAGGGATAGATGGATGGGTTTGGGATGTCTGAACACTTTATCTTAGAATATTTTTTAGAATCCTTGTATGTTTACGAGGATGGTTGCCAATGTACTAAAAATAATCAGTGAAATTCAGCTCTGCACACTGGAAACTATTGGAGAGAAAATGGTATTCTTCTTGAATAACATTCATCAGCAAATTGAGCGTAAAAATATTCACATTGCCCTCCAAAATAAAGGTAAAAGCCTACTCTGTCCTTGAACGTGCTGAAAATAAGCAAAAGATGCATTCATGGGACTGGTCATATGGAGTAAAAGCCTGGATTAAAGTAGTGAGTAATCAATAGCAGCCAACATGGATGACAACCAGCAATGACCTTTAGGTGAAGAGTTGATGTTTTATGAGACAGGCATGCCTTTTTATTTAAAACAGTGGGTGTCTTCCTAGTCTGACTCCCATTGCAGCACATGGATCTTGGGACTCAAGGACAAGTCCTTGGCTCACATTGAAGTCATCGGCCCCATGACACGTCATCAGCTTTGTCAACTTTAGAAATTCTCAGACAGAGAGGGAGCGAGCATCAGACTGGATCCCCACAACGCAACAACAAACAAGGCAGGTCCAGTTCAGAACCTACACGCCTACTTCTTATGCAGGATCCAGAAAAGGGTTTACCCTTATTAAAGCAACCAAGTCAGAGAAGGGAAGTTCCAACTGCTACATTATTGTTGCCACGATATATCTGGGGTTTGTTTCTCCTCTCTCTCTTCCAACAGTCTTACCAGATTACTTGTGCTGTTGGATAAAGTAAATTGATAAATTTAGGGTTACACCCCAGAGTCAGTCCAAATTTCAGGCTAAACCAGTTGTGGTCACACCCTTATAATGTCTGCAGTGTCTGCTCGAGACTTCTGCTCACTGGTTGTCTATGAGCTATGAGCAGTTCTATCCCACAATAATCAATGTTAGGCCCCATTATATTTAGGTTATGCATAACTGTTTTCCAAACAGTAATTTAAACTTCTATATCAAGAATTCAAGGATAATTTATTGCTGCATGCCATCCACTCTACTGCAACAGGTTACAGTTTGCTTCTGAATATCCTCAGACCTCTCACCTTATTGATATTTAATGATGCTGTACAGTTATAATGCTCCAGTAAAATAACATGCATTATGTGCGTCACTAGGTCAGGTTAATAGCAGGTCATGCTTTTAAGCTTGATTTTATTTTCTGTTGCTTCTTTGGGCTGGATTCAAATGTGAGACTTTCTTCAGCCAGGTATTGTTGAGGCCCAGCAGAGGCTAAGTAGAAACCTTCTCGTCAGTATAATGGGCAGGACAGGAAGGGGATGTTGAGAGCTAATCGTATTTTCATGAGTATCCCTACCCCTGCGTCTCACACTGAAGGTGTCAATAATGCAATGTATATGTCTCACACTGGCATATTTCTCTCCAAAGCTCCATTTGGCTTTTTTTCAACATTTGCTCTGAACAATTGAGCTTTTGTAAGGAGCTCGCTGAGAGATATGCAGACAAGGCCTTGAGTAAAGGCCGGCAAGGCAGAGAGCCATTAATAATGGCAATGATTTTTATCCTTGTTTCTCTACGAGTGTGAACGACAAAACAATCATTCAGGCAAAGAGACTGAGAAGCCTGTGAAGCGTCTGAAAAAGAAACCCGAGAGTTGGACAGCGTGCGGTCAGCGGTGTCTTTTTAATTAATTTTTCTCCCTTTATTTATAGATAAAGGGATAATAATAATCAAGTCGGAGTTAAGGACCAAATCAAACTCTGGGAACATTTCTGAGGTCAGTCTGGCAAATCTTTACTTCAAAGGAAGCTAAAGGTTAAAGACCAAATGAAAATCTTCATGAATATCATCAATGTGTAACGTGTGTAACGTGTGTGTGCGTGTGTGTGGGCCATACCTCAGACACACTGGTGCTGGCGTTGGGGTTGCGGGGGGCGTGATGGCTGAGGGCCGACAGACAGGCCAGGATCAGGTGGATGGCCCCGATCTCCAGAGCCATGCGGCGGAGCAGAACGCCGTCATCAGTGGTCAGAGGAGTGCTGCTGAACAAAGCTCGCAGCACGTGGAACGGCAGCGTGGGCAACACGTTGGCCGAAGGAGACTGCAGGATATGACCTGAGAGGATAATACAGGCGAATCAGGAGACTGAGCCTTTTGTTCTGGTTTGGGTTTAAGATGGATTTACTGGTCATCTCATGACAATGTGATTCTGTGATGCGATTGCTATTTGTAATAGGTAAATGGACTTGTACTAGTTTCTCGACCACTCAAAGCGCTTTAGCACTACACGTCGTTCACACCCATTCATACATTGATGGCAGGGGAGGAATTTGGGGTTAATTGCCCAAGAACACATCGACTAGAGGAGCCGGGGATCGAACCTGTGATTGAGAATGACCCACTCTATCTCTATCTGACCACAGCCCTTTGTAGAGACCCATACCTTCAAACAAGTCATTAAGTGTGTGCTTAGAAATTGCATTTCTTATTGATAAAACACAGTTTGCTCATTATGTATGCATCAATAAACATGTTAAGAAATGTACTGTTTTAACAATTATTATTCCATATATGCCTCTCCAGCTGTATCACTAAACAAGATGAGACTCTCTGACATCAATCACTGTCTGACTAGAAAACAAACTCGGTATCAGTGAGAAATGATCATACTAGATTAATGTGAGAACATCTCATTAATTAGTTCAGACTAGAATGAGCAGCGGGAGGAACGGTTACAAAGACATGATTAGTATTCAAGAGCACAAACACAAGAACTAGTGTGAAACCTCCATTTGATGGAGCACAAACAGACAGATCTCAGTGAATGTGTCTGACTTACTGCCCTCTCCATCGTCTGTGACACCCAGCACCAGGCGCAGCAGACACTGGGCATGCTTCCTCTCCTTCAGCAGCACCTCTGCATACCCCGGCAGGCGCAGGAACAGGCCGAAAGCCGCCAGAGAGTGGGCAGGGATGGGCGACATGGTCTGCACCGAGGATGAGGACGATGAGGACGACTGAGACTGCTGCTTGTTGATGGGCGGCGGCTCGGCAGCGATGGACTCCGGCGCCTCGTACACCAGCTCGCCCGACTGCTCGATGGTTACCCACTCGAACTGGTCGCTGTCCTTGGGTTTCTCCTGCGTGGCCGAGGGCACTACCGGGGCGCTGACCTGTGAACGACCATCCGGGAGATTAGAGGGTAACTTCAGCAAAGGTGACAGTGAATATGAGACAATGCTGACAGATGATATTAGGAGAGCGGGAACTCTGCAGAGTCATCATGTGGCCAACTGAAGCCTAAAGGAGAGGAGGCTGGATTCTCTTCATACTGAGAACATAATGTCTAATGGAACCAATGATCACAGTCAGTATCGATTAATCCACCAATTATTTTCAGGATAACTCGTTTGGTCGGAAAATGTCCGAAAACAGTGAAAAAGTGAATCTCTTTCTGGAGCCGAAGTTGAAACATCTCTTGTTCTACTAACACTCCTAAACCCAAAGACATTCTGTTTCACTATCACAGATGAAATCAGATAATATTTTAGAAATTGCTGAGCTAATGTGAACAGGTCAGCTCAAAGACATGGTAAATGGACCGAGATATATAGATTGTTTCGTGAAATTATGTGTGTTTTAATAACATCCTAAAAACAATCTCATTCAATGTCCTGTACATTGGGAAAATGACTGCTGGAACTGAACTGCAGATAATGTGTCACTACAACATGAAAATATCAGAAGAGCCAAACAAGCAAAAGAAATAGAAAAGATTAAAAAAAAGAATCAATGTTAAAATTCTTTCTTGGCTGTTTCGGAAGGATATGTTTGTCCTTGAACTGACCGGGTTGAGGGCCCCTCTCTTTGAAAAATTGACTATTTGTTTGGTTAGAAGTGCAGCTTTGTGTCTGTTGGCTGAAGATTTTAGCTCTACTTGACTCATCCATTCATATGTCTGTTTTTGAGTCTCACCTGCTGAATGACATCAGGGTAGAGCATGGGCAACCTCTCTGCGATCAGGGCAAGGCCGCCCATGCCTGCAAAGACCTGCAGCGGTGACTGGATGGGGTTGGTCTCCAGCAGGGACTCGTCGGTGGCGGCGTCCAGACATTCTTCACTGGCTGTCATTGGTTCGTCCTCAGGACAGCTGTTCAGTATATCACAGTGGTCCACTGCAAGGAGAGCAAAGGGAGGACCTGTTGTATGTTCACACTCTGGTTTTTGGGAAACTTGTTTGTACTGTATTTGTTTTTTAACCTCAAGTCTACTGTGAGAAGAGTCCCATCACCAAGTCAAGTTGTTTTATTGTAGAACTTTTGTCTGTCATATATATACTGTACATACTGCTGGGATGTGGTACACAGTCAGTGTGCATGTGTATTGCATAGTCATTACATGTCTTAGTTAAGCATATCATATTTGTCTTATATTTTTATGAATGTGCTTTAGTTGAATGTTACCCCCTAGTATTGGGAAGCAAAGAAAAATGTATATCTCAACTTGTATAAACTTGCTGTTGCATTTCTCTGTACCCCAGCTTCATCTGTGCCCTGTGAAGGGGTGTTTTCTAAAGCAGGCAAAATCATCTCAAAAAAAAGAAACAAGTTCACTTGTACGGATCGCAACTTTAGCATGAGAGTAGCGTACGCCTCCTTCAGGACCTGATTTGTCCCAACGCAACGTTTATAAAGGAGACTCCTGGTCTATGCTGAATATTATGTTATTTTATTAATAAAAGAACCAAACAGCTTCCAATCACTACAGACCATCATCATCAACAGGCTTTAATGTTTGCAGTTGAGGGTGCCCTACCCATAGATGAGCGATGTGCTGACCGAAAAGGAGAAAATGGAACACTGTCCTAATGTCCTTGTTTACACTTAGAACACGACACTGAAGACAAAGTCAGACGATCAAAACGAAACAAACGGTGAAAGGCAAAACAGACTAATGCTAACCCACCACCATTTTATTGTGTTGGCACAGCCTCGGTGTTTTATGATTATATAAAGCCATGGTCGATTGATGGGTCATCTTCAAAAGGCCACTCATCTCTCACAGAGGAGAAAATCAGGCAGATGATTCATTGCTTTCCACATCTCTCTCAGGGGGTTTGTTTTTCTGCCCACACTGTGCTGGACCATCTCTCTCTCTCTGTGTCTGTTACTCACTCCAATGAAATACAGTCTGGTTCGGTTCTGCTCTGTTTGTATTGAATCCATGGAAGATAAGACGATTTCAGCTGTAACGTTAATATATCCAGCATCTATGTAGCGTATCCAGCAGTTAAAGTGAACTGTAGAGCCCCGGTCTGTAAGGGCCCGCTGCAGACTACATGTTCGAGCTATGAGGCCATTCGCCGGTTTATTCAAAGTTGTTTTGAATGTTGAAGATGTTCCATGTCCAAATTGTACCAAATTCCACATGGTTCTGCCTCGGGTCACCAGCAATACATCTACCAAGTGTGAAGTACAACAGATGGAAAAGTTCTCGAGGTATGCTGAGGACATACCTACATACGTACGTAGAGACAGACGGAGAGAGATCCCAAGCTTCATAGTTGGACGTCTCACCGTCTTTATCAGGGGTCACTGTCATTTCCGTTTATTTATCTGCTGTAAAAACGTTTTCAGGGAAGGAGAGATAAATCTCAAAGTTTATTGGGACCATTTCTTGGGGAATGGTAGTGTAGTTCAATAGAGCGTACTCCGGACATGACGCGAGTACATGATCGGAGTGCGTTAAGGCTGGCAGCAGTCAGGGTCAATTTTTTCAGAGGCAAAACATCCAACAGTGAATTCACTTAGAAAATTAAATCTGGGATGCAGTGTCTGGATCAAGGAGCGACTCCACTGGGCCACTAATTTGGGTTATTTGTTGGTCTTTCTGTGCTACTGGGTGTCCCATCTCTACAGCTCCTGTAATAAGGCTATCTGAATTCAGCAGCCACAGAGAAGAAGGACAGAGATATCAATAAAGATAATGACTGACCACATCAAGTGGTCAACGTCTGGGCAGTGGGCACGTTTAACAATGCGGTAGTTTATTCAAGTCCATTGGAAGGGAAGTAGCAAATCTGTACCAGCTCATTTTGGGAATATCAAGATTGAAGAACAATGAGGGGTTGCCAAGCTGCATCCAAAACAACTATGTGTGCTGTTTCACTTGGTAAACACTAATTTAGCAACTTAACAGTGCACTTCTAAAATATTGTTGAACTCACGATGGATTCTTTCTTGTCAAACCCGTTTGGGCAGAGACACAGGTGTTCAATCCTATTCTATTTCTACGGTCACAGACCAATCAGCATCCTGCGAGGAGCTGCTGGGTGCTGGCAGCTGCGGGGGCGGTTTAGGTGTGTGTGATGAGACGGATTGGTCAGTGTCGATGCTGCAATAGCATCAGTTGTATCAGAATTGTAAAGTGTCACTTCATTGAAAGAAGAGCAAAGAACGGCTCTTACCTCTTCTACCAACTACCAAAAAAAAACAAGCTTATGATACATTCAATTTTGTCCTTCTAAGTACAACACATGATGTGAGTTACCCAACCCTCAATGGCACAACCCATCCAAACAAATGAGACGACTGTTTTGAAATGGAAACTATGGATTGTGGACGGGTCATGGCCAATGACAAAAGGTATCTGAGCAGTTCTGCAGATTCACCAGTGCTGAGATCATCAAAACAAGACCATGATGTATCCGACCTCGTGCTGACCCTCGAGCCTGCAGAACCAAATAGCTAAATATAACCAGTCCTAGAGTCACCACATCTTTGGACGTAAACTGTTGCCTTCTAGCTAAAGGTTGGTAAACAACCTGCCTGTCCTCACTAAATGTCCTTCAGCCACGATGTTCATTTGAAAATCTGCCTCACTGGACAAATTACAATGTAAACATACTTCCTTATGCAAAAATATTCAGCACAGCATGCCTGCTACAACACAATATTTATATATGCTACTGTACATAAATGAAATCTACATTAATAGCTAAACATCCCATGAATAATGTACAAAGGTAACACCTAACGATCAAAAAACGTTAATTGCTGGAACCATTCCACAACTTTTTGGACATCAAAGCTTTTCTTTCAAAACCAGCCCAATAAATAGCCAGAATGGGTGTGATATTCAAATGTACGCTGACGATACAGTGATTTATGTGCACGCAAAAAACAAAGAACACGCTGCACTTAAACTCACGTCCACAATGACAAATGTAACTAAATGGCTTGCAGATTCCTGCCTTCACCTGAATGTTAAAAAGAGTTTGTTCTTCACAAAGAGAGCTTACAAAGTGTCACTGGAGCCATATGTCTATGTTGCTGGTGAGAGGCTACAGGTAGTGTCAGATTTTAAATATTTAGGAGTTTTTATCGATTCTAATCTCTCTTTTAAAAAGCAGGTAAAACATGTGACAAAGGTTTTAAGATGTAATCTCATGAATTTTGGATGTATAAGAAACCATGCAGGCTGCGAAACTGTATTTTAATGCAAAGATTGTCCCCCTTCTGACCTACTGCTTAACCAGCTGGGCACAAGCCAGCAGCACAACATTAAAATCTATTCATATTCTCCATAAACAAGCTCTAAAAACACTTGATAAAAAAAAACAAAAGTCACCATCACTGCAATATCCTCATCAAACACCATATCTTGAGTTAGGAGAACCTCATTAAATTCACTGATGCGTGTCTGGTTTTAAATATTTTACATGTATTTTACATTTTACATATTTATGGCCCCGCCTCCACTTAGTGATTTTATTCAACAAAGCACTCAAAGCAGCAGACAGACTAGATCTGCTTCAAGAAGTGATTGTGTCATTTCACAAAGGTCAAGCTCTTTTAGCAAATCTACATTCTCTGTGAAGGCAGCACACTCGTGGAATACTCTGCCACCACACATACGCGCACAAAACATGTACAAAACATTCAAACATAGCCTTAAGGAATGGCTGGTTGCCAATCAGGCATGCAAGCATTGATGTACTGTCTGTCCTGCCTGCTTGTTTCGTCTATATGTATATTTGTCTTGTTCAGTGTTGCCATTTTCCATTTTGATGTGTATGTTATGTGCCTCAGTGTTATATATGTGCTTGTACTGTACGTGGGTTTGTTCTGCCTGACACATGCTGCAGCCTGTTATGTCTGCTCTGCTCTAGTGTCATACACTTTTCTTTTGCTTATATGTGTATTGGTTTTTTCTATACGTTACTGTTTGTTTATCTATGAATTTTAATTCCATTTGTATTTGAAATTTTAGGCTCCCTTCAAACATCTGGCCGGGGACAGCAGAGGAAAACTAGCCTCTCTGGCTAACTCTGGCTCACTTACAGTTTAACTGTTGATTGGTGTGCATTGTCCCTGCATAAAAACTAATTAATTAATTTAAAATAAACAATGATGAATTTGTAACTTTTAATTGAAAACCTAAAATTTGACTGCATTTAAACCATCTCAAGCATCAGGAGCAGGGGTCTGCTGTAAAGCGCCCCGGGGGAAACTTGGGTTTCATGTCTCGCTCATGGACACTTTGACAGGAGGACAGCCCTCTGTAAACTTCTGGAAACAGTCTGCTCTTCCATTGCAATTTGTTCAAGCTTTTTAATGTTCACAGGATTCCTTTTCCCGACAACCGATTTCAACGCTCTCCAAATAATTTCAATTAGATTGAGATCAGAAATCCTTGCTGGTCAGTTAAAAAAAAATAATTTTTTCCCCTTGTCAACCACCCTGTTATGCTTTGAGATGTGAGCTTTGGGTCTTTATCATGTTGAAGGACCCTTGATTCTCGCCCCAGCCACCAAGCCATTAACTAATTGGTCATTCGAGCACTGACATTTTATCAAAGAGGAGTCTGATGGTGACTCTAATGTATAATTTATCACTACCGATGTAAATTCCTCAAAAAGGGTGCCAATACTGTTTCCCATGGCAATCTTTCAGTTTTTATACTTTTTTCCTTCTATTGCTTTCTCAAATTTGATTGTTTTAATGTCTACAGGGCAAAGCTGTTTCAGGACATACTTTTATTTCAGGGGATATTGTACATGATGTATTTACAATCCAGGGATACCAACAATGCTGAGAACTGTAACTTAGGTCTGTTAGATCTTAAGTCAAGCATGGACTTCTATCTTAAGTCTGTTTCTTAGTTCAAACAGACATGTATGCTCATATCGACGTAGAGATTCCGATGATGAAGTCTAATACAGTTGTACGCTCCAGAAAAAGCTAGGAAGCGGACGTCAAGTTGGATTTTTTGCAATTTCCAAGAAGGAACTTTTATGCTTAAACCTACATTGATTTTTTGTAAACAAAATTTACATCATCACCTTTTAAGTCAATATTGCAAACATGTTAGCAAACAATTGCTTATTCAACATTTATCACATCCTAGAGATATGAAGCACATTGTTGTTATGAAATGAAAATTAGCAGTACACAAGGTACCGTCAACCAACCTTGCTTAGTTATTCACACGTAGCTGCTTATTGTAGCTCTCTGATTAGTCACACGGTATGTCAGTCTAACCTATATTATCAAATACCTTGACAGGCAGGAAGGGAGACAGACCGTAGTGGCAGCAGCAGCTAGGAGTATAGCACTAGCTATAGCGTCCAAGGAATAAATGCTCCAGATCAAAAGAAAACGCGGTGTTCAGAGGAAGGATTACAAGTCCCAAAAATAATCGAGATAGATGGCAAAAGAGCGCTTATGGGGACATTACACAAGCCGCAGCATTGTCTGGCTGTTCCCCACCTTTACAGACGACGTTGCCACAGTGGTTGCCCTGCATTTAACATAGACCCAACTAATAGATGATGAAATTCATCGCCAACTCATTTTATAATATATTTGATAATACTATCAATGGAGCAGGAGAGCTTTTTAAGATGATGTAGAATATCTGAGTTGTGAATCTTAAGAATCATTGGAATATTATTTGAACATAAGAACAGGTAGTGTCAAGCTCTTTTTGGTACCTTTCTCAGTGCGTAGCCTCTTGAAGGAGTCGGTCTTGGAGAGACCAGGGTCAGAGATGACCTTGGAGCCCAGTTTGACTGTCAGGTTGATCGACTGGTAGCCCTGTGGCAGCTTGCGGTCGTACAAGAGTGTCAGTAGCTGGGCCAGGGTCATCTCAGATGGAAGGGGTTGACCTGGAGCAGAGGACAGGGAAAATGCAACAGTTCACTTCCTTGATACATGAAATTAGGCTGCAACAGTTTGAGTATTTGGCTCAAACACAATGATGTCCTGCTACCAGATGTGAGCCGGCATGTTAACCCTGCACTTGAATGGGTAGTACCTGGAAGCAGCTTGTGGTACAGGTGGAAGACAGGCACACTGATGGTTTTGGCTGAAGGATCCACACCAGATGACGCAGTCAACTTGTCACTCATCACGCGACCCCTCCTCGATGGAGGTCTGGGAGGTGTTGAAAGAGCTCGCTTGGACTGGGACTTCAAGCCTGATGACAAACACACAACATGGAAACATCACAGGGCTAGTCTTGTTCTCATCGGTAGAAAAACAGGTTCATATTTGTTGGCTTATTTGTTGTACCAGTATTACACACAGGGCTAAATTTGTGCCGGATCCTGGTGGAACAGGATTTTTGACTGCCTGTGTTCCGTTATCTATCTGCACAGATCCAGTATCTCTCGTAGTATAAAAACAAAAATGAATAACTTAACAGCTAAGCATTTTTGCTGAGAAAAAGTAAAGAGAATATTGCTAAATTAGGAGATGTGGTGCATGTGAGCACTCTGTAAACTGTTTTTATAGGTGCTATATAAATACAGTTATTATTATTTTCAACAGACAGCATGTCCTGGTTTCTAGCCGGCTATCAGCAGCAGCTCCTGGGGCTGGCTCCATGGGAAGAAACCGACAGTGTTTGTATGTATTGATCTTATTTGCCCACCCACTATAGCGAGTAAGGGAAAGCTGCCTGTAACAGATGAGCTCACAGACAGACTGGGAGCCTTACTCAATCAATGGAGATCTGGTTAATAAGTTCAAAACACATATACAGTGATATCTCTGAATGATTTAAACAGCTGACAATGGAGCTTAGCCTTCTCTTCACTAAACACAACAAAAATAGAATCTGCAAAGATTCTTTTTCATCTCTCCCTCGTCCTTAAGACTTAAGTTACAGTTCTCAATTAAGTGTAAAGCACTGCTTTAGGCTTAGAATGATAGACAGATCAGTTTTCTAACTTTAGACTAAAGAGTTGAACTCAAATGGAAGAAGATCCTTTTCTGTGGTACCAACATGACATTCTGATAAACTGTGCTGGGAAAATGACGTTTCCTCATGTTGGCTTTTAGTAGTGTTGAGTAACCATTTGGCTGAAGTTCATTGCTATGTCCGAAATAACTCATTGACTGCTCTCAATATAATAATACTCAACTGTTCACTTAATATTGAGCAGTACATTGAGATTTCAGACACTTAGGAAGCACTAAAGTTACAGTGTGAGTGCAATTTGATGATGTAAAATGATAATGTTTCATATTTGTGGGTAAACAATCTACACAACTTCCTTTCCAATCTGATTGGCATGAAGCCGGTGAGATGAGACACAGCAGAGGTTGGCTAATAAGATGATGGCTGGGCTGCCATTGGACAGGAGGTGTGTATGGAACACGGTCAAGTACCCGAGGCCACAACAACACTGTAGTTGTCCTGGAAGCCACTGTCTGCTTTCATCTTTTCCTTCTCCTCATGATTCTTCTTTTCCTTGTCCTCCTTCTGCTCATTGATCAGCTTGGCTGTGATGCTGGGTGTGTCTGTTTCGATTAATAGAAGACAGCATGAAATCAGATAAGTAATATAATACGGTCTTTTATTAAAACAGAATCTGTTGTCAATGAAAATCTGTGGGTGAAATGAAGTGCAGGTGTGTGTCGTTGTCTCTCTAAAGAGGTGAGACACTCTTCATGTACAAAGCCGGCTAAAAGCTAGCAGGTCATCCTGCAGCTCAGCATCGGTGCTTCTCTGATGACCTTAATGGCCAGAGAATTAAACAAGGGCACATAGATGAACCAAATACTGAAGTCTGGAATTCATTGTGTTAATCATTTCTGCTATCATTACAATTGCAGCTATTTTGGTTTAAAAGCTGGTTCCTAGTCATTTATCTATTGATTAGAATCAGGTTACAGCACAAATCTGGCCCCACTGTCCTTCAAGCCTTTACAGAGCAAGTAAAACTCAAAGCTAAGTAAAAACCTAGTCTATGGCTGGACCGTGTATTTGTGGCCAAATTAGCACAGGGAGAGTCAGCAGTAATGAACTGAAACTGTACATTTACAACCACTTAACAAGAAGTGGATCAGATGAGTGATGGTGGAGGCACAGACGTAACCATTTGAAACGCTCTCGCGCTTATTAACTTTGAATAGAGCAACGGCCAATGGAGAAACTCCAGCTCAGCTAACCAATGGTGTAGCTCCATCACTCACTCGTTTATAGGGCTGGCCCCTGCTTTGCTGCTATCCAGTCAAAACGAGAAGTGAAATCTGAGAACATGATCAGTGCATTCACACTTACAACAAAAAAAAAGGAAGAGCGAGAGGACAGTGGTATCCTACCTTTTTGACCTTAAAATGAAGCAATGCCAGCCTAGGGCTGTACCGAATAGTTGCAATCTTCATTCAAAACAGTGAAACATTTTAATAAAAAATTTGAATGGTGCGTAGCTTTTTCTCTCTATTCATTCAGTTTAAACTCTGTATTTATGCGCACGCACGCACACTTATTGTCAGAGAAAATATCACGTTTTTCACAATTATTACATAGCTTATAAACTACAATATTTATTATCATCATTAAATATATCCATGTTGTGACTACTCCCTGCTAAGTGTAAATGGTGTTGGTCCAGCTCAGTACATTAGCTAGTTACGTTTCTTTTTACATTGACTTGGGCATAAAGGGGGGATTATTATCTTAATAAGATGTTGGAACATACTTATAGTGTTTTTGACAGCACACTCAGCAAATTGGATTTCTATTGTGTTCATTAACTTCCTGGTCATTTCATAGATATCCAGAATGCTCCCACACTGCCGATGTACGACTCCTTTTTGCCGGCTAGAAGACTGGAATGTCGGTTTAAATGTTGTTTTTAATTGCTTGAATGTAAAAAAAACAAAAAAAACAATGAGCAACCATTGTCTGTTTTATATGACTATGGGAGGAAAAATTGTAAGAGTCATTTGGAGGCCTGAAGACGTAAAAGTAATCCAGTAAATAGCAGAAGACAAAGTAAAGATTAGAAGAACGTCTAAAAAAACTAAAAAACATGTTTAGGAAATGTTCCATTTATTTATTGCTTTATTAACCTGGTAATTATCCCTAAAATATGCATTTTGCTCACAGGTTGCAAAATGCTGTACTGTGTCCATAGTTATCAAGTTGTAAGTGTGGTATTTTAGACTCAGTAAGGGAGTTGGCCTCCGTGTTTGTGGTCTTATACCTATTACTTACATAACGTGGGATATAGTGTTATGTGCTTCATGAGGCACATGTACTTTATATTCAAAAGCAGAATTTTCTGATCTCTTTCATCACTGCAGAAGGAGAGTCACCCTCATCACACATTCAGAGAGAGGCTGTGAGATGTTGCGGCTCCATGTTTGTTGTGTAAGAAGTTGTCACAAGACATTAACTTCAGAATGGTGTTAAATCTTAAACAGACAACCGAAGGGATAACAGAAGCACAAGCAGTGACTTTCCTGTTGTGCAGGACACACACGCTTCAAACACAGTGTTTTATAATATTCACACACACTTTTAGACATTCCCTGATACAATCTGCCAATTTACTCTGTTAAACTACCATCGATAAAACTCAAAAACGTCCTGCACGAGGTTAAAAATAAAAGCCCTCAAGAAAAGAGAGCCGTTTGAACTGAAGGAAGGCTTTTCATATAAAACATCTATGCATGAAGTTAAGACCTTCACTCACAATATCTAAACAGCAATCAAAAGAGATATCTTAATAAATAATCAGTGAATGAATGAACACTATTTCAGTTCCAACAGATTGGGGAGTGAGACCTGAATGTGATGATAGAACTGATCAATAAATGGCAGAATTGTAATTCTGAATCATAAAGCAAGCTACTGGGACATCTTCCGTGCGGACGCTTCAGTGAAACAAATCAATCGTTCTCATGTTCTACAATCATGTGGCAGCTAGCCAGCCAGATTTTACTGCACGTGTTCTTCCCCAATGATATGACGCGTGACTCCTCCTTCAGCTGTAGTAGCAGCTGCTAACTAAAAGGGGGCGGAGCTTAGCAATGGGCTAATTAATGTGCCTTCTTGTACGTATCCACACTGGTCAGTGCACTAATCCAAACTCTGTCCTGTTTTGATGCCTTCGTACTACTGCAAGGTTAAAGTTTTCTGGATTGGAACATACCAGACACCCGGTCCAGGACTTCAGCCAGCGTGGTGGAGATGGGCAGATGGAGGGTGCGGTATTTGTGGCCTGCTCCATACATGGGATGCTGGATCATGTGGCTGGTGGCATTGATGCGTCCTTTGTATAACTGAGAAGAAAAAGGGGACACAATGGTTTTGTGTTGGCATGTTATAAAAAATATAACGCTTACATATAACAATATAACAATTATTCTCAGCCAACATGAATCTTAAATAAGAACCACATTGCCAGTGCTGCCGATTGTAGAGAAAGCAACAAAAATACATAAATATTTAAATACACAAACGTTCAAACAACTGACAAGTCAGACATGTTATCAGGTGGATGTAAATTCTCTGAATGAAACTACGGGCAGGTCAGACCCAGAGAATTAAAGAAAGAAAACTATTCACTTCATTCAACTAGGAAAATATCAGGAATCCAACTTCAACCTACTGGTCCAACATTAAGCTAAGCTAGCAAAATTCTCTGGAATTTCTTTTCCCTTTATCCGGGAAAAAATACCTTTAGTACTTGGGATTTTTAGACTGTATGCGCCTGTGTGTTTGCATACTAAAGACTACCAATTGACCAAATATGAAAAGAAGTGACAATAAGTACCTATATAAAACGTCATTACAGTCTAGTCAGCGGTTGCTAAAAAACAACCTTGTCTGGATCAACCAAGCGACCCTGTCTAACACATTCCCCCTCTGCTAGCGGGCAACAAGACGGAACACTTTATAATACTGAGAACAACGAGACAGCTAGGATGTTAAAACGGCTGCTTTGGGTAATTAAAACTAACACACACACACTCGCAAGCACACATACACAGAGTCCTAAAGAGCTTTTCTGACAACCAATCATTGAGCTGTGTAAAATATGGAGCATTACGGTGTCATTGAGGTGACCTTAATGCTCCCTACCAGACATGCATCAGTCTGAGGGGATCACTGAGATGAGAAAGGAGGCTGCTGCTTCATATTGTTGTGCTGTCCCCTTGTGGTCACAGCTGATTTCTACATCAATTATGTTTACTTGGTGCCACAACGTCAGTTTGAGCCGTTTTTGCCACAAATATGAACATGTCAGTCATGTATGTTCTATCCCCTACAACATGTGATCTGCTATGATCATCTGAACCATCTGATCTGAAAAAATGACTGCTTGGGAGAAGTTTATATAATTTCTTCTTAAATCTTATGTAGTTGCAACACAATTCACATGAAATAAAACTAGAAACCATCTTGTAGCCACAACGCCAAATCGGGCCAAAGAAGTAAATTTGGGGGGTGGGGGGCTGCCATATTGAATGCCATGCCAAACCAACCGGGTGCTTCCTTCAGCTGTGAGTGATTACAAACGGAGTTCACTTCGTCACAGAGTCGGAGGATGTAGGGTCGGATTGGAATTGGGCCTAAAAGTCTGCACTCTAAGGCTGTACGCAGCCAGTATTGATTACATATTTTTCTCTCCTATCTGGAAAGGAGAGGGAGCAGACATTCAACAACAGAGAAAGTTACCCACCGGACAGGGAGACTGTAGGAAGACTGTGACCTTCTCGTCCTCCAGCATTAGCTGCAGGAAAAGCCTTCGAATGAAGCCTGAGATGTTTCCAGAAATCGGCACATTGCCTCGCTGGGGTGCAGACTGGAAGAGCTCACAGAGAACCTGGAGCAAAATCCATACAGACACCAATGAATACATCCACATGAAAAGAGTTCGTCTTTGATACCACCAAGGCCATAACATGGTTCCTTCACTTTTAAGAAGTTACCTTGCATATTTTAAAAACACAACGAATAGTATCATCTAAAATAGTCTATGGTTGAAAAACATGTCTCCAAATGTTTAACCAACTACAAATCTGAGTCTGAGATGTCAAAACTCAATGCCTGGAGTCTCAGAGAAAGTGAAAGCTTTAGACTTTTCCATTACCCTAACAAAGTGGAATATAAGAGCAGACCTGAGCCATGAGCCGCTGGTTGTTAGGGTGGCAGGAGATACACTGGAGAAAGAAGGCCACAGTGGCATTCTCCAGAGCGGTCCTCTGCTGGGTGGTGAGTCCTCCTGCCTGCCCAGAAGATGCTAGGGAGAAGCGGGACCCTGAAGCCTGAGGCTGGGATGGAGGAGGCCCTGCCGCAGATCCAGAGCCCAGAGGCTGACAGCCTGCATTGGCACCGGCACTGGCACTGGAATGGCACAGCAAGAAGAGCAGTGCCGTCCAGAGCGGGTTCACCTCTGGACCTCCTAACCAGTCTTTCATGGCGTGACTGTTGCCTACTTCAGTCAGGAAACGCAGCACCGGAGCGGCTAGCTCTGCAGCCAGAGGCGGCCTAATGTGTGAGGATGAGGAGGATGAAGAGGATGAGTGGTAGTGGTGATGGTGATGGTGTCGCTCGGCCTGAGCAGCAGGCAGAGGCAGGTCGGCACTGGCCAGAAGACCGACACAGAACTGGGCCAGGCTGCGTACCAACAGTGATGGTAAGCCTGAGTCCAGCAGCTGCTCTATGGCTCCTGGAGACTGGGAGGCAGCTGCCAGCGTAGTTAACTGGGACTCGGACAGATTAATGGGGGGTCTGGCATGCTTGGAGTCGTCTGTAAGTCCTGCGGCACTGGTGTCAGCATCGTGCTGCTTTTTGCCATCGTCAGTCATGGAGAGGCGGTGCTGCTGGGCCTGAGAATGACTGGCGCTGGGCACTGAAACGATCGCCATCCAGGACATGAGAAGGGAGAAGTAGCTGGGGTGGATGTGACACATGGAGCACAGCAGGCTATCCACAGCCTTCTTCAGCACAATGTTGCACGGCAACGACATGGACCAGTTATACAGCAGCCTGGAGGAAGGGAACCAATCATCAGTCATGCATTTATGTTGTTACAAAATCAATGTATATGCAGTGTATGAATATCAATACCAGTAACATATTAAACTGTATATAGTAAGCTTCCAAAGACTCCAATGTGTGCAACATTGATTGAAGTCGCTCAATACAAAATTCAGAGCATATGTATTGCCTCCACACGGCTCTCACCATGGCAACAGCTGAGCCGGCGGCTGGTGGTAACAACAGAACTGTTAATGAGGGGGAACTGGGCGTTCGATAACAACACACACAGAGGGAGAGATACTTCATTCTCTGCTCAAGTAGACATTACTCCTCTATATCTTTACATAGATGATTGTTGTTTGCTGCTACATTATTGCTCTGAATATTGTAGAGAGAATCTTTAATATTTATGCTACAACTACTCCTACTACATTTAATAAACTGATAGAAGTTGGGTTGAATACAGCAGATTAAGTTCTTGGTATTATGAAGTTCCTGTGTGTTCACAAACTCAAGACTATTGTAGCGCCATATTCAAGTGCAACCTTGAAATGCCCCGATAGGATTATTAAAGTATTATTACTACAGGCATGGCTCTGGAGGTAGCTTCTTGAGCTTCGTGGTTTGATCCCTCGCTCCTCGTGAAAGTGCCAAAGTATTCTTGAATAAGACACTCAACCCCTAACTTCCTGATGAGCAGGCTGGCACCTTGCATGGTCTCTGGCATCAGTGTGTGAATGGGTGAATGTTGGCTTGTGTTGTAAAGCGCTTTGAGCGGGCGACAGACTAGAAAAGTGCTACATAAATGCAAATCCATTTACTCCTACCATTTGCCTCTACATATGAGCAAATTGGCATGAGATTTTAGAAAGCTTTTGTTTGATTTTCATAATTTCATATCTAAACAGCTTATAAATCATTCAGTGTCCCTGTTTTATAACAGATTATTTCTTTGTGCATAAGAGATGGGAAATGACACATTAATTACAGTGCTCTTCACAAGGTGAACAAGACATTTAATATCTCCCTGTCCATATTTAACCTCGACTTTCATGTCTGGCATCTGATTCAGACTTAAGTCGTGATGGAAGTGTTACAAAGACAAACGTCTCTGTGGCTTTGATGTAAATGATGCCTATTCAGAGATGAGAACAACATTTACACAGCAAGGTGCACCTTTAATTTCCCTTCTTTTTCAACTGATGTGAAGGTGAACACATTCAGGATAACCTCTTCCATGTTTGTTTGTATGTTTGCATGTTTTCATGTATGTGTGTGTAGGTATGCATGCATGGTCTTAGTAATAAGGAAAAGGTCTATGACTGACTCAAAGAGCTCTCTGTTGAGGAGTGCAGGCAGGTCGTAGTCAACAGGCAGCTCGTAGCTGTGCCACAGGATGGCTGCCACACAGTGGAGGTGGGAGGGCGAAGGCATGAGTAGGCCGTACTCCCTCGACGACCCAGAAGAGCCAGCTCCGACGCCAGTGTATCCCATGTGGCCACTCATCTTGTGGGCCACCACCCGCGATGAGTCATGGACCCACTGGAGAAGAGCCTGGATCCTGAAGGGTGAAGATTCAGAGTAAGCTTTGATAAATATGTCATCGAGCTTCACGTCCTTAGTCCTTCAGGGTGAAGTGCGTCACAGTGGAATTTATATGCAACAAACACGACCAAATGACAGTAAAAGATAACAAGGAGAGTGGAAGGACACTTTTTTACTGTCGGCTTATGAGTCTGTCTAGAATACCACCTTGACAGAAAACGGATTCTCATTGGTTGTTGTTGTTATAAAGGGGAGCTGAAGAACAGTCTGAGTCCAGGCAAAAACAGGATGTATGACGATGTACCTGTCTTTGGTTCCAGAGTCCTGTGTGGTGCCCAGCTGGTACAGAATGTCGATGGTGGAGTCTGAGGAGAGGCCATTTAGTCGGCCAAACAGCAAAGGACTGTTCAAATCTACAAAGATAGAAGCAAAGACTACAATAAGTATGGCTATCATGATCGATAGTTAACTTCTACTGCCTTCGACACAAATGGAATATTCTTTTTTGGACATGTGTGCAGATGTGCAGGGTTCTGCTACCATACTCATTAGATTACATGTATTCATGCTATTTCGTTTTTTAGAGGAGAAGGGGTAACAGTAATTTGTTAGCAGCGTCGACATGTGAATATTTGGAAACACTTAGCCTCAGTATGCATTCCTATCCATGTCCTAATTTGCTTCCCAAAAAAGAACTATGTATTCTGGTACAACAGCGGAACTGCTGTGTACCGACTTAAAGATTCAAGTCTACATGTCAATTCAATGGAATTTATCAGTTGAAAGTGTACCAACTGAACTATATATACACTCACCGGCCACTTTATTAGGCACACCTGTTCAATTGCTTGTTGAAACAAATAGCTAATCAGCCAATCACATGGCAGCAACTCAATGCATTTAGGCATCTAGACGTGGTGAAGACGACTTGCTGAAGTTCAAAGCGAGCATCAGAATGGGGAAGAAAGGGGATTTAAGTGACTTTGAACGCGCCATGGTTGTTGGTGCGTTCAACAACCAAAAACTGCTGATTTCAAAAACTGCTGATCTGGGATTTTCACGCACAACCATCTCTAGGGTTTACAGAGAATGGTCCGAAAAAGAGAAAATATCCAGTGAGCGGCAGTCGTGTGGACCAAAATGCCTTGTTGGTGTCAGAGGTCAGAGGAGAATGGGCAGAGTGGTTGGAGAGGATAGAAAGGCAACAGTAACTCAAATAACCACTCGTTACAACCAAGGTATGCAGAATACCATCTCTGAACGCACAACACGTGGAACCTTGAAGCAGACGGGCTACAGCAGCAGAAGACCACACCGGGTGCCACTCCTGTCAGCTAACAACAGGAAACTGAGGCTACAATTCACACAGGCTCACCAACATGTGACAACAGAAGATCTGAAAAACGTTGCCTGGTCTGATGAGTCTTGACATTCAGATGGTAGGGTCAGAATTTGGCGTAAACAACATGAAAGCATGGATCCATCCTGCCTTGTATCAACGGTTCAGGCTGCTGCTGGTGGTGTAATGGTGTGGGGGATATTTTCTTGGCATACTTTGGGCCCCTTAGTACCAAATGAGCATCGTTTAAACACCACGGCTACCTGAGTATTGTTGCTGACCATGTCTGTCAATGTGGACCAAAATCTGTGAGGAATGTTTCCAACACCTTGTTGAATCTATGCTACGAAGAATTAAGGCAGTTCTGAAGGCAAAAGGGGTCCAGCCCGGTACTAGCAAGGTGTACCTAATAAAGTGGCCGGTGAGTGAGTGAGTGAGTGTATATATATATACATATACATATATACACACACACACACACATATATATACATACATACACACACATATACATACATACATATATACACATATACATATATACACATATACAGATATACATATATACACATATACACATATACACATATACATATATACACATATAAACAGTTGTGTGAAAAAGTGTTTGCCCCTTCCTGATTTCTTATTTTTTTGCATGTTTGTCACACTTAAATG